TCAAGGGAACCTCCCTATATTCATATTTAGGTGGGCTACAACCCACAGTGCTACCAGGTGAGCCAAACCTACACGGGCTACCTAGAGAGGCCTCCAGGGAATCACTGGTCATCATCCCTGGTGAGCCAAATTGATTCTGGGCAAACCTTACCTCTTTTCCTGACATTCTATGTAATACACTACCCTCCCCACAGGGGATGCCCGAGTGCAGGCCGGGCATAGATGTAGAGGGACCCCCCAAGGGCAACCCCCCTCCCACGTGGCCTGACACTGACTGAGCAAAAGGTGTGCGACGGGAGGCAAAATGTTCACTCCCGCTATAAGCGTATGGTGAATAACCCCCCTCCCCGGCGTATACCCCCATCCTACACGGAGAACGGAAATTGAAATTGTCTGACCGCCTGTCAGCCGGGCGAGTGCCCAGGCCTAAAGCCGACACGGCTTCCTCTACTGACATATTCATAATAAAATATCACAATAAATCAGATAAATTCACAGACAATACAAATTAATTCTGAAAGTTGATTCAAGAAATACATAAAAAAAAACAACACGTGCTCTCACATACCTAGCAGGACTAAAAATGGCGGCTAAAACGATGCCTGAAAAAAAAAACTAACTTTGACAGCAGTACGGGAATCTCCCGGGCCCCGCGAGTTGGGCGCCAGTAAAGTAACTACCGGGGGGTAGTACTTATAACAATCTTTATTAGCAACTATATACCAATATACAATATACAGATCCGTAGGTTCTGGCCCGGACCGACTCCCCGCTCCGCTGCTGTCCCTGACACGTCCTGTCAGCTCGGCATCCACGTGTAGAAGAGGTCCGTGCGACTGTCCCGCCGACTGAAGTAATACAGACAATAAGTCGTACCACGGGACAGTCGCACAGATACTACAACGTCATCATCTTTTCATCAAAAAGATAAACAATGCCTAGGTCTCTTATTTTATCCCTATTCTCCTTCAAGACTGCCTGATTGTTGCATTTATTACTGCATATCTCAGCTGCCGTCGCCACGTTTTTAGATGTAAACAACATTCCGTGTCACCGAGTGCAAGCGCTTGGCTGAAGCCGAATGCAGCCAAACGACACAATAAAAAGAGAATTATTTCGAAGACGTGTTGTTACTATATAAGAGAAAATCACTAATGTTTATTTATTTAAACATCAAAATACAGACATTCATTACAAATTCTCGCAATCATCATTAAATAGCTTTTTTGAGCTCTATTTCCTTATATAGATCTATCTGGGCGGAGCAACTGTCATGACGTCAAACCTAATTATGACCTCATTACCATATTATCTTCATGTGCAGCCTTAACTGTACTGCGTCACGTCCTCTTCCAAGGGGAGATAATTACAAATTTGTGAAAAATTAATGGCATTTTTAAGGAATCTTCTTCTCAAGAACCATTGGGCCAGGAATGATTACACTTACGTGGAAACATTCTCAGAAAGTGTAGATTTAAGTTTCAATCATGACCCCGGGGGGTAGGGTGGGGCCACAATGGGCGATCAAAGTTTAACATAGGAATATATAGGAAAAATCTTTTTAAAATATCTCCTTAAGAACAGCAAAGCCATGATTGGTCATATTTATGTGAAAGCGTACTCGGAAAGAGTAGATTTAAGTTTGTTAGAATCATGACCCCAGGGGGTAGGGTGGGGCCACAATGGGCGTCAAAGTTTTACATAGGAATATATAGGAAAAATCTTTTTTTTAAATATCTCCTCAAGAACAGCAAAGCCATGATTGGTCATATTTATGTGAAAGCATCCTCGGAAAGAGTAGATTTAAGTTTGTATGAATCATGACCCCCAGGGGTAGGATGGGGCCACACTGGGCGATCAAAGTTTTACATAGGAATATATAGGAAAAATCTTTTAAAAATCTTCTTCTGAAGAACAGCAAAGCCATAATTGGTTATATTTATCTGGAAGTATCCTCGGAAAGAGTAGATTCAAGTTTGTATGAATCATGACCCCGGAGGTAGGATGGGGCTACAATGGACAATCAAAGATTTATATAGGAATATATAAGAAAAAAGACATTTAAATATCTTCTTCTGAAGAACAGCAAAGCCATGCTGGTCATATTTATCTGGAAGTATCCTCGGGAAGTGTACATTCAAGTTTGTGCAAATCATTACCCCGGGGTAGGTTGGGGACACGATTAAAGTTCAAACATTTACGGAAAAATTAAGCCACAATTAATCAAAGAAATATGTAAGCATCCTTAATTTTTGTTCAAATAATACCCCACCCCACCCCAACCCCACCCCTTTTAGGTGTGGGTTGGGACCACTTATGCATTTAAACTATTCAATACTGAACTGATTTTTGCTTTTTTCCTACCCACAGTGCTCAGGTGAGCAAGGTGGCCCATGGGCCTCTTGTTTCATTTGCATTACCCTCTCGACATCAATTTATCTCTTCCTAATCGATCTATAAACCTACGTCTTATGGAGTAATGACAACCAAGTAAGGATACAAAAAAAGTTATAAAGGTATTTTTAATGGTAGGGTTATTACTGACAAAATGTCGGCAAATGTAAAATCTATTGTCTCGGTAATTTGGATAAAAATCATTTTTAAGAATACAGAACTTTATCGTGTCCTTGACTAATTATATTTATTTGTGTATTGGGTACTCAAAAAATTCCTATTCAAGGTAAGGCTTAAATTACAGTATTTGATTTTTAGCCTGCTGAATGCTCAAGGGAGCATCACTCATGAAAGTTAATTTGGCGACTCTTTTCAACACACTTTCCACTCTACGCTTCTTTTGTGGAAAGTAGACTGACTTTGAAGTACAGAATGAAATTCGTGCATGTAATCTTGCCCCAGTCATAAAGTAGGTAAAATCAAGATCAGTACATGTTGTGCATAACTGAAAAACATCTTTCAAATAAAGGTAACTCAAATGAGGGATAATGAAATAAGAAGGTAACGAATAGCAAGCATGCTCAAAAGTTAAACAATACAATTTAGAGCATAACAATCATGGACCTCTGAAAACATCAGATGCAGGATCAGGTGCCATGGAGGAGTAAGTATCCCCTGTTGACGGTCATACCCATCGTGTGCCCTTTGTCTTGATCGGATAAACGTAGTAAGCCGTACACAATTCAGTTTGAAATAACGACCTATAAATTTATATTTAAAAAGTGAGTCAGCATTTGACCTAGCAAGAGGTTGTATTTGCACAAGAGGTCATTGCATCGACCATTCACTTCAAACTGCAGCAGAACTTTGTTATCTTAAACACCGATATTTCGAATAAAACTGATATGTCAAAGTGTGTTGGCAGTCTTAAATTACTTTTTCTCTGTATTTTACCCTCGTTATCTCGAATCTCCGAAGTTTAATCTTGGTCTCGCCGAGTTCGAGAAATAAGGGTTGACTGTATATTGTTGATAACCTTGTCACATCAATATATTTGTCAGAAATCTTTCTCAATTAAGAAACTGAAAAAAACGCAGAAGACTAGTATGCTCTTGCATATCGAATCAACTGGGAAACATACACACCATCTGTTGGGGATAATGGTATATTGCTATATATGTCCATATATATGGGAAGTTGACGATAGACAGGGTAAAGTCATCACATTTATCATAAAGTTTTGTTGCTATCATTGTCTTTCTCTAGTAAAACATGAAAACATGAAAAAATGTGTCAGACTCTATAGTGTCTTTCATTTCGAGTTCAGTGGGATGAAAAAGTTGAAGATAACGAACAGTGATCAATCAAAAAAGTACGACCCAATGATAGATAATATTTGCTAACAAGATCATAATGTCGACCATAAAATTTACCAAATGTTGAATTTAAACAAGGTTGTTGAAATCACTGTAACATCAACTTATCTGTCAGTAGCCTGCCCCGGTTTAAAAAATTGATCGCACTCGGAGCATGCTTTTGAGTATCGAAAAAAGGGAAAGGTGACGATGGAAAAGTATAAATCATCTCGTTTGTCATACAATTTAGAATTAGGTGGCCTTCATCGGCTATAATCAGTTAAATATCGTCTACAGTGTCTTTTAATTCGAGTTCACTTCGATATATCGGGTCGATATAAGAATGGAAGTAACTATTGCTTATAGGTAAAACGTCATCGAGATATCTGTCAAGTTGAAGGCCACAGCAAGTGTTTTCTTCTTCTCATGTAGAAGTTTTAATAAATTCTACCTCATATGAATTTAAAACAGGTCGGCTAATAAAGGAGCTCAATAAGTGCAAATCGAATTTCCAACAGTTTGCTGGAAGACCTGTTCTCTTAAAGCTACATAGATGTTGTCAATGAGGAACTCCAGCATCCTTTTAATATCAACTTCAGAGTACTTTCGAATAGAATCAGAGTGATTTTAATTAGTAATTATGTTGATGACTAATTACAAGAAAAATTAAAATTTCTGATTCCATTTCTATTGAAGAAGCAGTTGTCTATGATACCTAAAAGCTCTTTTTTAATTTATCATGAAGAATGGTTGTATGAAGTGTCATACATTTTGATGTTGCTAATTTTTGAGAGAGAAAAATATTATTTTAAATTTTCTTAAAGTTCTTTTGAGTTTTTGAGAATCCACATTTGATTTACACCACTTTTCAAATATGCTGTAGCACAGTACGTCAGAAGTTTCTCCTTCACAGTAGTTAATATTTTTTGCTGGGAGTTTAAAAAGTTTTGGTAGAGCACTTACTGGACCAGGCGATGTGTCTTTGTATGGATTTTTATGAAGTTTAGGTAATCAGTATAGGTAGGGTATATCGAACTCACTTTCGTTGACTTAAATGTAAAAAAGTATATAAAGATTGAAATTCGATTTTTAAGAATTTCATCCGTTCTACATGTTTATTGAATCTCTTTAGCATTATGCAACCTTTAAATGCATATCATTAGAATATGGATAAAGTTTAACAGTAACACATATTGTAATACTCATGGATTATAGAAAAGAAAATATGATAAAATAAGACATTTACGGTGTTTCATTCAAACATGTTAAGTATATATTTCGTCCATTTTGATTTTATTTGTCTCTAGACAGAAAAGGAAATGTATGCTCTTTACTGAGATTTCCACTTATGAGGGATTGGCCAAGTCCTTTGACGACTTTGAATCAATTGGATCGCTGCTAGGATTCTCTTTGATGGAGGATGGAGTGCCACTGGTTGTGCTTGATTCAGAAATAAGTCCCAATGTTAAGGCCATCCGCTTAAAATATTCGAAAGTATCTTTTCGAAATACAATATAGATCCAAGGATCAATGATGGAGTTCGAAATGGAGAGACGTATAGCATTGAGTTCTAACAGCCCATTTCCGGAAATTGTTCCAATTGCATGTCCGAAAATCGTTATCTGTAAAGAAGTGCAAAAAAGAAGTGATAGGCATTTAAAGCAGGGGTATTTTCATCAGTCATGATCATACAAGTATAATTACATGGAAGAAATCATTACAGGTATTATAAATTGTCGAATTCTCATCCCAACATCACCCATAATGATACTACAATACTTACTAAAAGTGGTGATATGCATGAAGTAAAGAGGATCACAATTAAGAACAGGAAGACCATGATATATGTGTTGTTCTTCTTTGTTATGCACATATTCTTCTGGCGACTGTCGTAACAGACTTTTATAATAACAGTTGTGTTTAGTACAATTGTAATAGCAAGAATCATAATGCCTGTCAGTGAGTAAAACAAGGCGAGGATCCTATTTGATGTGCCATCTTCTACAAAGTCCAGAAAACACCAAGAACCTGGGAAAAAACTGAGACTTTTAAGACCAACTATTAAATGGAGACTTGATAAAAATGCAGCGAATATCCAAACTCCGACTATCGTTGAAACAACTCTCCTGTTTTTTGTTAGGGAGTTATAAAAGTGGGGATACAGAATTGCAATAAAACGATCGAGAGACATTGCACAAACAAATACTGCCGAACCAAAAATGGTAAACATGAAAATAAATGCCATATAGTCACACAACGGCTGCGGATAGTTAAATTTGAATTCGGTGCCATAACGAACCATAACTATAGGGTGAGAAAGCAATATGCCACCCCCAGCTGTGATGGCAAGTCCACAAACGAAGCGATAGAAGGGTCGCCATTTATGATTTTTAGAAGAACAACAGAGAATAATCAATGCCAACACATTTCCTGTTACTCCAAAAACTAGTAAAAGTGCTGCTGGAGCTGCGGATGGCCATTCCGGTCCCGGTGTAGATATTGTTAGATTCTTGTCCATAAAATATGAATTCAGTTCGATCGCTATATCTTCTGCTTCTTGTCTCCTAAATCCTACTGAAATCATGAAGTGGCAAGATATATATACCGCCTAGTTTCTGGTGCTGTTGCACTGGGAATTTTGCGGTGAGCAAAAGTTTCCTGTCTTAACAAATTACACTTGATATTGTAAGAAACGCCTTACACTAAGGGGGATTAATTAGCGAGAAAAGGTTTCTTGTAATAATGATGTATTTTCATGGAAACAAGGTTGATTCATTATCGTCCGTAGGAGCGTCCGATCTGCATGTATTTGCGGTTGTGTTAGAAAGTGCACATGGGGAAATGAGACTTTTTAGGTCACCTGAGTCACTCAGGTGACCTATTGCTATCTCTTTTCGTCCGGCGTCGTCCGTCGTCCGTCGTTCGTCGGTCGTAAACTTTTGAACATTTTCAGCTTCTTCTCTGGAACCAGCAAACCAATTTCAACCAATTTTGGCATATAGCATCTATGGGTGAAGGGGAACAAAAATTGTGAAATTCGTGGTCCCTGCCCTCCTGGGGCCTGAGTGGTGGGGCCAAAACCATCAAAATTAATGCAATCTTTAAAAATCTTCTTCTTTACTCCTGGACATCAAGCAGTCAAACTGTTGGCATTATTGTAACAAGCATTGAGCCCTCTACCAAAATTGTGAAATTCATGGCCACAGGGTCAGGGGTTCTAGTGCTAGGGTGGGGCTATATAGATCATATAGTGAAAGTGCATTATTTCTTTGAAAATCTTCTTCTCTACTCCTGGGTATTATTGAAACAAATTGAATACAAAGTTATAATAAGCAAGAGTGACTCTACCAAAATTGTGAAATTCATAGCCCCAGGGTCAGAGGTTCTGGTGCGAGGGTGGGGCTATATAGATTATATAATGAAACTGCATTATTTCTTTGAAAATCTTCTTCTCTACTCCTGGGTATTATTGAAACAAATTGAATACATAGTTATGATAAGCAAGAGTGACTCTACCAAAATTGTGAAATTCATAGCCCCAGGGTCAGAGGTTCTGGTGCTAGGGTGGGGCTATATAGATCATACAGTGAAACTGCATTATTTCTTTGAAAATCTTCTTCTCTACTCCTGGGTATTATTGAAACAAATTGAATACAAAGTTATAATAAGCAAGAGTGACTCTACCAAAATTGTGAAATTCATAGCCCCAGGGTCAGAGGTTCTGGTGTTAGGGTGGGGCTATATAGATTATATAGTGAAAGTGCATTATTTCTTTGAAAATCTTCTTCTCTACTCCTGGGTATTATTGAAACGAATTGAATACATAGTTATGATAAGCAAGAGTGACTCTACCAAAATTGTGAAATTCATAGCCCCAGGGTCAGAGGTTCTGGTGCTAGGGTGGGGCTATATAGATCATATAGTGAAACTGCATTATTTCTCTGAAAATCTTCTTCTCTACTCCTGGGTATTATTGAAACAAATTGAATACATAGTTATGATAAGCAAGAGTGACTCTACCAAAATTGTGAAATTCATAGCCCCAGGGTCAGAGGTTCTGGTGCTAGGGTGGGGCTATATAGGTCATACAATGATAGTGCATTATTTCTTTGAAAATCTACTTCTCTACTCCTGGGTATTATTTAAACAAATACATGAATATGATAAGCAAGGGTGACTCTACCAAAATTGGGAATTTCATGACCCCTGGATCAGAGGTTCTGATGTTAGGGCGGGGCTCTATTTATTATATAATGAAAATGCTTTAAAAATCTTCTCTGCACCTGGGCATAGCAGGGGCAAAAAGAGTAAAAGTTTCAATAAGGAAGGGTATTTTTACCAGATTTTCGAACATGATCAGGACCATTTGGTCAAGTGTTCTGGTCCAGGCCAGGGCTCTATTAATTTGTATTCTACTGAGAGGAGTTATTCCCCTTTGCCATTTACATGTGATAATTAATCACTGTAAATTATGTACTTGAAAGGTTAATAGAATAAGAGAATTATGCAAGAATTTTTATTGTATAATACAAAAAGTATTTTCATAGTTTTAATGATCAGGTAGACTTGTAAGTAAAAGATAAATAAAAATGAGACAAAAATAACTTGTCTTATTAAATGTTCATCAAAGAACAAGAGAGCCCAATGTAACAATGCAACAATTTCAACAAGGAATTAAAAGAGTACAGAAGCACTGATAGTTTGTTTTTAAACTGTCTGATGAGAATGATAAATGGGGAACAGATTAGAACCTAATTTATGAACTGTTAAAGAATACTAGACTAATTATTTTGTTGATCCTGATCACCCTATTTTTTTGCTTTTGGGCAACAAAGCTTCACCTTTCAGTTCATTTCATACTCTATGGATCCTCTAAATTGTTGTATTATACTCAGGTGACCGTAAAGGCCCTTGGGCCTCTTGTTTTATTATTATTAGTTCAGTAAATGATTAGTAAATAAATTATAACATTAATAAAAATTATGAGTAAAATATTTTAAAAAGTTTCTTTAAACTTAGTCTTAAATTCTGTTATATTTGACAATTTTACTTTCATTTTCTCATTAGATAATTATTATGACTTTAACAGGTTGGGCACACCCCACCAAATGGTCATTTATCCCCCGTTTAGTGGACAATCTCCCATATCGGAGACGAATTTTACTGACCATTTGGGAGAGAAAAATGGTTGTGTTCAATTCCATAGAATGGCGTGGAATGGCGCATAATTTTAAACCACGTGGAATAAAATATAGATATTTATCGGTGTTTTGAGTGAAAAAAATCGGAAATTCAACGTGTAATTTTTTGCGCAGAGTCGTTCAAAAATTTGAAAAAAAATGTCACGTATGTAAACAAGTGCAACGTTTCTCCGTTTTTACTTAAAAAGAAACTTTCCTCCTTCTTCTACGATGCTGCACCTGTCAATCATGTTCTTTACTTTCTATTTCGATTATCCGGGCAACCAATCAAATAATGCAAACCAATAAAAACGATGATCTTTTTTTTAACCTGGTCAAAAGTCGGATTTTACTACGGAGGCACATTAGTGTCAATTTTCAATTAGAAAATCAAAAGAAAAATAAGTTTTCGCCTTTATTTCATTTTATTTTGTATGCAATAGCTTTGTTCTCTATAAAAATAGTAAATGAAGTTAGATTATGATATAATTATTGTTTTACTACGATGTACTTCGAACGAATACAAGAATAATTGCAAAAGTCACTTTGTAAATCTTTTATTGAAAATTATTCATCAAGTATATTAAATTCATCAGTAATATACATATTATACCACAGAAAGGTCGTATGGAATATGCAACTTCATCCTAAAAGAAAAATAACAACAGATATTACGTTCAAGTATAGAAAAATATAACTTTTTAGCAGTAAGTGCCCACCATACCAGTAAAGTAATGAGGAGCTCGTGTTTAACGGGATTTTATGGAAATAAATATTGACGAAGATCCAAAAAGTGATTGAAACTTAACTTATCAAGAGTTCAACCACTGGATAAAATAGAATTTTTATCCTACTAGACAAAATCAATTTTTTTTTGATCGAGTGATCAAGAAGTTCGGCTGTTACGGACAACTATGGGTATCGTTTTTAGGAAGTTACGGAGAAATTGCACATGGGAAATCGACCGAACTATGTTAATTGTGCGACGAATATGTTCACTAAAATTCCCTAATGCCTAAGTAAATGCGCTTTTGCTTTATTTTAATAAAATTTGGAATAGAATAAAGAAGTCCACCATTTGGTCAGTAAAATTCGTCTCCGATATGGGAGATTGTCCACCAAACGGGGGATAAATGACCATTTGGTGGGGTGTGCCCAACCTGTTTAAGACAAGATTTTATAGTAGGCTCTCGTTTATGAGTATGTAAGATATGAAAGGAAATGCTTAGATTTTACGGATACTAATATAACAGTGGCAAAAGTGACGAATAAAAATGAAAAGTTGGTAAAACTAGTAAAAATTGTCTTGATTATTCTACACCTACGAATGACGAAATTTTTCTTCACTTTGCGTTTATTGTGTGTTAATTGTCCACCGCCGTCCCGTGCAGCATAGCTTGCAGAAATCATGGGCATCATCAAAGGCAAATGACAAAGACCCAGAGCATGAGCGCATGGAAAGTTTATCCTTTTTGCCGTATGAAGATCCGAATAGAACAATATATTCTTATCATTTATCTACGGAAGCATATTAGTGCCATGTAATATTTTTAGGTGGTAGTTCCAACTTTAAAGTTGGAAATTCCAAGTTTAAAGTTGGTAATTCCATTTTTAAAGTTGGCTTTTTCAACTTTTAAGTTGGTAGGGTTTTTTGTCTTTAGATACAGTATGAAATATCTTGCGTTTTTCTTGGACCCTTACTTGTGAAAATGCTTAATTTTGTTTGCGGTCGATTTGATGCTGTGTCAACTTTACTTGTTTGCCATTAAAAAAATTCACCTCACACACACATACACACACACACACACATTAGAATATAATAGATAGATCGTTCTAGCGTTAAAATCATTTTGTGCTACGGAACAATTGAATTGATTCGGTCTGTTGGCAATGTCGTAAAATTATAATATTAGTATCTCGTAATAAATTATTATCTCGTTACGAGTTGATTATCTTGTTATAATGAGTTAGTTATCTCAAAAGTGAAGATTGAATAATTATGTGAATATAGGAATTGACAAGGGTTTGTCACATTACATCTACTGACTCTTTGATTTTCCCTCAGTTTTGGTTTTCCAAATTTACAGAAGACATATGGAAAGCGATCAATCAACGCGCAATATTATGTTATCAGCGAGTTTATACCAGTTACTTTAACATGCTTAACCTTGTCCAAAATACCATGGATTATGGTCAGTATACTTGTATGTCCTTGCTTCACAAACAATCTTTGTCAGTGTACGTGTTTGCAAAATCATTGGTAATAAGACAAAACTGTCGTTACGATTTGCAGACCGTTATTTCTCGGACAGTATCAGATTCCAACTCCCTAAACGTTAACAAAAATGTGTATTTTTAAAAATACATGATTGA